CACTTACATGACTTCCATTTTACGGATTCTACGAGCACTAGGTCAGCTAACAGCGATCCTTCAGGATTTTCAAAGGCTAGAAAGCGGGAGCCTAGCAGAGCAAATGTAGGCTATTCGTAATCAATACAAACCCCAAGATTTGGAAAATCTGGCAAGCTTCTTAAAGAATTCTCTCGTCTTAGACCCTTTTTAGCAAGGGAAATTCGATCAGCAAGTTCGCCACGTATAGCATGGGTACAACCGCGTTCCCACAAATACGTTCCTATTTTCACAGTGCAAATTGGGTTTTTCGCGCTAAATTTAAAAAAACCCATTCTGAACCCCGGCGGGTCACATGACCGTTTTGGCGATTTCCCAGGGCTGAAATTTTTGGAAATTGCAATCGCATGCGACGTCGCCTGGGCCAGCAATTTCCGGAAAATGCACGTGGCGCTGCGGATGTGGCCCATCTATTATGGGTCGAAAAATGGGGCGGCTAGCGTGGCCTAGCAAGGGGGAAATGGCTTTAGAAAAGCCGAGCCTAGCTTCTGGTGTGAAAGGGTGAAGAAAAGGAGAGTACGGGGCGGAATGAGCTCATTAAAGACCGTCAGAACGATCAAAATTTCGTCAAAAGCAAGAAGTTGCGCACCGGGCGGGGGTCGAACCCGCGATGGTCCGCTCCACAGTCCGATGCGCTAACCACTATACCACAGGTCCGAGTGAAGAAGGGAGTCAGAGGCGTCCCAAAACCGAGAGGGCCCTTGCCCGCTACGGGGCGCGACTAATGACGCCTCTCTCTGCGCGTTCTTGGGGGCAGCACCCTCGGGGTGACAGTGCGCGTTCCATCGTTCTGGTAGTCTTTAAAGGGAGGTGAATACGGGATGGGGGGCAGAAATCGGGATAAGAAATCTTGTAAACTACGGGGTTATGGGTTTCCTCAAAGGTGTTTGCTAGGTTGCCATGTTTCTAGCGGCTTAACTTGCGAACTCCAGCACAACGCACTACAGGACGAAATGAAGGAGAATGAGCCAAAGAGAAAGAGAGAGAGAGAGAGAGAGAGAGAGAGAGAGGGGGGAGAGAAGGCCTCTTGATCTTTAGACCCGACAAAACCAATAGTATAGTTTCCCCTCCCCATCCTCACACTATAGGTTCTTTACTCCCCAGTTTTCCCCCATCAATTTACTTTCTTCCCCAAGCGCTCATGTGCGTCTCCCCGGATCTGGGCGCCGGCGGTGATTGAGAAGGCAATAAACTGTTTGATGTTGACAGAATAGGGATGGAACTCAAAGAGCTATATATTTTCTTTATTTACGTGGGTGATTTAGACCTACAAATCCACTATTTGAGAGAATTGCGCTCGAGAAACGCTAAAGATGGTCCTAAGACTGAGCTGATTAAACTTAAAACCTTTCGAATACCCTAAAATCCATAAATATTTCAACTGGCTGATGTCCAAAGCCAGAGAATTTGGAGGGTGTTGGCTCCCCCGGATTACCGGTAGCCCGCATCCGGATTAGGATACTTCTAAGGATTATGTGGACTTTGCCGTATCTTTTTGGGAACTGCAAAACCAACAAATTCCGGAAAATACGTCAAACCGGACGTTAGGACTAGATGCGAATCTGGAAAGATCAGGGCGCAAAGCCTATTTTGGTGGCTCACGATCCTCCTAAAAATTCAATGCGTGCAGAGATATAAATACATGTAGTCCGCGAAATTTATGCTAAAAATTAGTTTTAAAAAAATTAAGAAATCACCAGGGTTGAAAAGCGGCTTCGCGACTTTTCAACCCTGGCCCCGTCTTACCCTAATACTTCATCACTGGCATAAACACCTGAATTCCTGTGCAGAAAAATGAAAAGCGCGTCCTCTCCCTCGTTATATAGGCTACCACCACTTCCGGTGTATGCTAATTGATTCCTAACAAAGAGATCGAGCGAAATTTTCACAAAAACTTAATTTTATTATCGAAAACAGCTGATTTTTAAAAATCTCATATGCGTGCAGTCGTGTCATGACCATTACGCACCTAATGACGTATCATACGTACCCCTAACTTCCTCTCCTATTGAGATACGACTGGAACATACGGACGGAAGTTGTATGCAAATGCACACACACACACACACACACACACAAACACTATTTTTTTATATATAGTAGGATTAGTAATCTTACTCAAATGTTGACGTGTTTTAGGGTTTTCAGCGGAAGCCAAAATTGAGAGCTTTTTGAAGCTTTCAACGCCCACCCATCAATCTTTAGCCCATAGGAGGCCAGGTCGGATAGAGAACGTACGTTAACACCGGAATTTCCAAGCAAAAAAAACTGAAATAGGGTGCCAGTCTTGGAGACGGCGGTACTAGGGCGCCAGTCTAGCAGCAGCTCCCCATTGATCGGTGTATTTTTCCGATTTTTAGGTTTCTAGGTTAGAAAGCCCATTTTCAAACTTCAAGAATAAGTCGGAAGACTCAAGAACGGACTCGAATGGAGGGCTCCAAAGTTCGATTCGGTTCCTTGAAACCCGCTTGAATACAAAACTGCACCCAATTTTCCGGTCAGGCCGAGGTCAAGGAGAAGAAAAAAAGGTTCTAAAAGAAGTAGAAAAATGCCCTGTTAGAAAATGTCCAAGAAGTAATAAAGAATGAGATGACTTGAAGAGGAACATAATCTGGTAGTTACCTAAAACTAAAACAAAAACGATCAAAATGTCGCTTAAAAATGGCGCGAAAATTAATCAAAAAAACGCGTAAGCTGTATATGTGTACAATTCAGGCTTTTTGATTCCAGAAATTAAAAAATGACGACAGATTATCCCGGCTGCCATCGATTTTCTCGATCAAAAACATTAGCGCCCGGATACAGTCGTGCTATTCAGTTGATGGGAAATCCGAAAAATGCGAGAGGTTGATGGATAGACGCAGGGAACGGCTGGGAATTTTATGAAAAAGCCCGTAAAGAAGTGGAAACACACACAGCCGTTTTCCCGCGGGGAGGCTCAGCAAGCCCGGGCCGATTCGATCAATGGCTGGCCGATCGGATGCGTCGCCGCCCGCTCTCGCTCTCTTTCTTCCCTCCAAACCACACGCGGTGAACGCCACCAACACCATCCCACCCAAAAAGCAGATGTTCTTTTCCCGGCTAGTGGTTTGCGAGGGGTGGAGGCCAGTTCTCAGGGACGATTGATGTGCTATGAACCTGGGCAGGGTGTTGAATGGAGGTACGCAATGAGCATGAGGTGGTCTAAGGTTCTGGAAGGATCCCAGGATCAGGACAGCGACTATTCAGGATCGAAAGATCGAAAGAGGATGAGATATGGATCCAGATGGAGATGAGGATCCCGTTCCAGAGAGACCCCAATTTACAGAGAGTGAGCAAGAAAGTGAGAGAGAGAGCGAGGGAGAGGTAATCAGAAAACGAGCAACGATACCAAGCAGAGAAGGAGAGAGACAAGGTCAAGAAAAAAGCGTACAAGAGGTCGATGAGATAGGCCGACAAGCAGCACCTGGTTGCCTTGTGTAAATTGTCTACACCTAGTCTGCAAAAAGGGTCAATTATAGCGCTTTAGGTGAACTTACCCGCTTCAGAAAAATTGCCTAACCCTGCAAAAAATACTGTAACATTTGCAGGCGTAGCTCAAAAACTGTACCCCAAAGCCAAAAATCCAAATGTTAGATACTAAAATGACAGGCGGCCCCGCGTGCGTCGATGAAGTTCACCTGCGCACCTGGCAATTAGGAAAGCAGAAGCTGATGTTTTTATGCCGAACGAAAGCTCACTTTTTGGATTTCAATACTGACTCAACGATGGCAGCTGGCATACAACGTAGCGATGGAGCAGGAAGGAAAATTGAGGTAGGGCAACTTCCGGATTGTTTAGGAGATGGAGAGCGAGAGAAAGAGAGAGAGATAGACTGAGTATTAATATCATAAAATCCAAAAAACCCGAATTTTGTGCTCAAAACGGTCTCCGCCCTTTCGCAACCTGAAAGAACCGTACTTTACGGGGGTATTTTTGTTACCGTGGGCGGGCCAGAACAGAAATATGGAAATCCCTCATTTTACTGCCGGTGGTCCCCGATTTGCAGAGGGCAAAAAACAACGTTCAGCTCGGTCGCCCTGAAACATGGAAATCCGGGTAATCCGCCTTTGGGGGGCAAGCGTTCGCAACTTTTGGAACCGGGAGTGTGGTATTGTATGTACCAGAAAAAAAAATTCAAAAACCGCCAAATTATTTTGAAAACTTTGTATAATAAGGCGAGGCGAATGACCCGCAAAAACATCGAACAAAAATTACGCTTAAACTGCAGCCCAGCTTAAGCTTTTTAAGCTTCTAGACGTAGTTTTCAAACTCAAAATATCCAAAATTCAATATGTAAAATTAAGAAAAGTGTCTGTATCAAGGATACAAAGTCCATTTAAGACGATTGAAAATCTATCAAATACTAAGATCACCAAAAAAGGACGGCAAAGCCAAAAAATTTGAGAAAAAATATAAGAGCCGTATTCAAAAAAATTTGAATACGGCTGTTTTAAGAGTTGACCCAAAATCCCGCAGCTACCGTAACTTCGCTCCAGGACCCCTGTAGATCAACAAAAACCGCCAATTAGTTCCGCTTTCAGCCCCTGGGACACATTTCGAAAAGAAGCAAAAAGGGTGACCGCGAGAAAATGGGAAATTTCGGGTCACCATGGCAACGATCTAGAGGGCACCTAGCTTCCCCTAGGGACCGAAAAGCCCCAGGTCGCATGGTTTTGATATGTTTGTGCTCATCGTCATTACGTTAGACTTAATTTGGGGCAAATTGGCATTGATTTAATTGCGCTGGTTCACTTTGTACATTTTTGTACTGTTGACGCATCGGAAACTTCCGGAAATTGGCGTATCATGACGCAGTTGAGCCGTTTTCCGCCTTGGAAATTATTTTTCTATTGAATTTTCAGTATTTCCTTGCGATTAACTGTATAATTTTATTAGTTGTGTGGTTTTCCGTCAAATTAGGCATTTTCCAGCTGGCTACTATGTACGAATTCCACCGCGAGGTGAAGCTCAACCAGGGAGCCGGAGGGTCCTTTTCGAACAACATTTCTGTGCATTATCACGAGGGCAAAAATATCACTTATGGATCGGTGTCGCACAGGAGTACGGTAAGTAGATCCTTTTTTAGAAAGTCTTTCTCTCACTTTCTCTCTCTCTCTCTCTCTCTCTCTCTCTCTCTCTCTCTCTTTCTTTCTTTCTTTTATATGGACCGGGTTGCATGTCTTGATTGAAAATCGAAAATACTTAGGTCGTGCTCAAGCTATCGAGCTCGGGCTAACTAGCATATACTCTTTGGGATTCGATGATCCTTCTTTAAATTCGTTTTCTAGGTGAGCGTCTTCACATGGGACCTAAAACTTGAAAATATCACACAAGAAAACTGGCCAGTTCGAGATGTCAATACGGATAGGCAGTGTATGGTAATTCAGGTACGTTCGCTAAATTTATACAGTATTTATTACAAGATTTGCTTGTTAGATCTCTCGGATAACTCTTGAAATTGGTAGAACGCTAGTTAAGTGACCTGAAATTACTACCATATACCTTAAAAGACGTCCTATTGAAGCCCTTACTAACCGTTTCCAGGCAAAATTCGTCCACCCAAGCTGCCGAACAAATCCACTCCTTGTCATGGCTACGAACACAGGAGCTATGGTAGTTAATAACTTGAAAAGCCAGCAAAGTATCAACTTCTCAGGTGTACTGCGCAAAATCGCAGAAACTGTTGGCCTGGAACCCGCTTGATATTGCTGTAAGTGTTACCAAATTTTAAGGACTTTTCCTGCTCCAGCCAAAGGTGGTTTGTGCTTTTTTAGATGTCAGAAGTATTAGTATGCAACGAGTCGACCCTCTTCACAAAAGGCATCACATGGGTTGACAACACCGTACTTGTCGGCTCGTACACCGGCGAGATTCTGGTGTTCCAGTGCAGCGGGGAGAATAGTGTGAATGTGAAGAAGCCGTTGATGGTGAGGATTTAGGCTATTGAAGACTGCTAGAACTCTAGAACGCACACTGTCACCCCAAAGGTGTTGCCCCCAAGAACGCGCGGAGATAGGTGTCATTAGTCGTCCCCCGTATCGGGCAAAGGCCCTCTGGGGTTTGGGGCGGTCTGACCCCCTTCTCTACTTGACTGTGGTATAGTGGCTGGCGCGTCGGACTATGCAGCGAACCATCGCGGGTTCGACCCCCGCCCGGTGCGCAACCTTCTTGCTCGCAACGGAATTTCATCGTTCTGGCGGTCTTTAAACTTCCGGGAAGCCAGCAGTGACCGTTGAGGAAAATCGCTTTTTTTATCAAACGACTGGGTGCGTAGCTAGGGTCGATTCTAGGCCTTCCCCACCCCCTTAATTCCCCCAGCTTTTCAACATCATCTCAAATTTTTGCATTCAGGAGCACCGAGAACCGATCTGCGATCTCGCGACCTGCCGATTTGACGACCTGACCTGTTCGGCGGATATGGGCGGAACTGTGATAGTTTGGGGCACGAAGTGCAAGAGCGCTGCGAAGAAGATTAGTACAGAGTAAGTCTGGTGAACTAAATAGGACCGAAAGCGCCAAAGTCAACCCATAAGTCGACTGGGTCTCGACAGCGTCGCGAGACTCCAAATGACGCCTGCAGAAGCTCACAAATTTCGATCAAAAGTCGCGTTTCTAAAAGTTAACAGCCCTCATTTCCATGCGTAGTTTGGTGTACCGCGTAGCTGTCAAGATCTAGTCGAAAGACGAGGTATATTTTGACACTTCCTGGCCCCTTTAAAAAGTGCCAAAAGGCAAATTACCGCATGAAATTCCAAAAAACCTTTGCTAGGGTGCCTAGCGCCCTTCTCAATTTTTAAGAAGCCACCTTGCATAAAATCAGGAGAGGATAAATACAATTTTCCCAAGGAAACACTGCTAGCCTAACTTCAGGCAGCCCATCAACGCCATCAACGTCCTGCGAAAACAGTGCATAGTCGGAACGATTCGAGGAAAAATGCTGCTCTACGCGACGCAGAACGGCGCCCTAATGGCGGAAATTGACTGTCATTGCCGGGCAGTTACGCAGATTTCCGTGGCTCCGGAGAGCGCCTATGTACGTTTGCGTCGATCTACAGCGACTAGCAATTTTTTAGATTTTAACCGGCGGCGAAGACGGAACTTACCGGATCTTCAAGTTACATACCAGGAAACCGGATGCGTATCAGGTGACGTAAATAGATTGTAGCCAAATTGCTTACCTACTTTACCCAGAAGACTACCGTATCAGTCTGGAATAAGGTACTTCCGGAAAAATCTGTTTTTTAGCTTTCTAATCCAAAAAATAAAAACATTTTAGTTAGGATACTGTATTTTACAAAACGATGATTTTAAAAATTTTTATAGTTAGCTAAAATTTTATATTACATATTTTTTTAAGGTAGAATGGCGGCACTCAGACTCGATCCCCGACGAGATGCTCTCCGGATGCCAATTTACGAATGGTAGAGGCTCAGGGATTGTTTTTGTATCGTACGACCATGGCGGGGTGCTCTTCTACCGTATTGCCAAGAAGGGAAGGCCAGACGATAAAGAGGAAAAACCTCCAGTTCGAGAAGTTCAAGAAGAACCGGAAGCACCCCCGCCTTCGGAGGCATAGATAAAAGTATACTCTATTATTTATTACTTTAATTATTTTATTACTTTTCACTACAAATATTGCCGATCGATTCTGCTGCATTCTATCAGTCTTAAAGGGACCTTGAAGCCAGGGGCTAATTTGTGTTTTGATTGCGCTGCATTGCTATATTTTTGCCGGCTGTGATTTTGCGATGAATCTCCCATGCACTGTCAAATTTTATATATTTTATTTTAAGTTATTTAATGAATAAAAGAATTTAAGGATTTTTATGTTGTTTTTTCAACGACAAATTTTGCCTTAAGATGCGTATTTCACAGCTGGTTTTCGTCTTGACGCTGTGGGAAAGTACAAGGTATCTAAGATACTATCTAAATTTGGTTAAACTAGTGTTTCTCTTCATATACGGATTCCAGGCTATAATGCCCCGTAAAAACCCCTAACTTCTCTCTTAACTTGTCATCAACTTTTATGTGACTTTAAAATTCCAGATTTTAGAGCTATTTTTAGCCGTTCTAAACCTATGTCAAACTACAGGGTGTATTGAGTATCCTCTAACCTGCCTTAAAACCGTATTTCCCTTCCGCTACGGTATTTCATGCCCTAACGCCCCCCACAGACCGGGGATCACAGCGGAAACAGCTAAACAACGAAGGTCGGCCGGCTACGGCATAATTCAAATGACGGAGCAACGTAACGAGTAGCATAACGTACCATCTCGTTCGTCTAATCAATTTATTTAACTGGGTAAAAGCCAAATGCTTAGCAAAATAAAGTTTTTAACTTTTCATTTATATTTTATCGTTTTCAGCGTACTTTTGTACCCATGTCCCGAAATTTTGTTGCTTCCCGGATGAATTTAACCAAAATTTGCTTTTATCTCGAGAATATGAGCTCGGACGGAAAAACAAAACTCATATTCAGAATCTACGCACAAAACTACCTTAATTCGAGATCTTTTATGCCGGAAACGGGCCTGAAGTTCACTTAAATACTTAACTTTTAACCTCGAAAACTTCCAACCGCCTAAGCTCTAAAAATCAAACTACGATTTCCATGATTTTGTGCTCAAAAGACGCGCCGTGTGTTCTTCTACAAATCGTATAATCGCAAATTTGCTAATAACGTCGTAATTTTTTTAAATCGACCTTTTTATCGCAATCCCCAGCCTTTTGTCGGGGGCCCGGGGGCCCCTCTCTCCGCCAGCCTTCGCCGCAATGTGGTGACCTGACCACCGTACCCAGGTCAGCCCAGCCCCAGTTTCCCCCACGTAATCCGTCCAAAAAAATAATACGACACAATCCGTTCACGGATTCCGTAATTAGTGTACTTGTACTTCGTTGCAGGTTTAAGTAAGGCTGTATCCGCTGTGGGATGTCTGCGGTGGAACGGCTCCAAGAGGCTCCCTTGGACACTGGGACGCCGTGCCCTCTGTCTGTTCCCTCCCCCATCCACCCGCTCTCTCGCCCCCAGACGGCCCTCGCCGTCGATCAAGCGCCTACGCACCGCCTGCAAAAAATGGACTCGAGGCCAAATACTTAATGGGATATACCTTAAAAAATTCGGTAATTTACATTTACCTAATACACTCGCCGATTGAGTTTCTTATGCTTTTTTAATGCCTTTTGATTACTTTTTTAGTATTGACTTATGTAAATTGACTTTATAACTTCCGTAAATATATCCGGTGTTGCCTTAGAATGATCTGCAGGCTTCTAAATTCGATCATTGAGTTTATTAGCGATTGATTGGCCCTTTAAACTTGATTTTCACTTTTTAAGGGTAAAAATTGACTTTTTCAATTAATTAACGGGCTGTTCAATGTCATTTTCAAAGCTTTTTCAGTATATTCTCGTCTGAAGCAACCATTTTCGAGCCGAATATTGAGCTCGTTGGACCATTTCCCGCTTCCAGACACTTTTAATCCGGTTAATCCGGGTTTTATTGATGAATTCAGTCTTTTTTAATGTACTCCTGATTATGGAGCTACTAACGAAATTCGTTTCTAGATTTACAAGTTATTATTAAGCTAGTTCAGGAAGCCTCCGGAATCCTAGAATGGTCAAGAACTCTTCCGGAAGGACTCAAATTTTTGAAAGATGCAACAAGAATGTATTTTGTTGATTCTAGCCTCATCAAATCGCCAAAAATTCAATTTCCTCCTGGAAACCCTGCATTAATCTTCCCCCTCCCCTTGACTCATCCAATTCCTCCACCAGATTGACATTCGAATGGGGCTCAAATCCCTTTAACGGGCCCCCCAGCAATGGCAGATGGCCCAAAAAAGGGCATCATCAGAAATTGACGAGGTGCTCGTTGTGGCTTGGATTTAGTGAGATTTTCTAAGAATTTGTAAACGTTATTTCGTTGAATTTTCGCTAGTTCCTTGCGCTTTTCAAAAAGGCTGCGGCCTAGTACCTTGAAAAGCTTGTGGAAAGCTGCTACCGTATCGGAAGCGGCTTTTCTTACCATTTCCCTAAATATACCTAAATCGATTTCCCTAAGGATTAAGGCTTGACTCAACATTTCCGGTGGTTTGAAAATATGGGATTACTGTAGATTTCGTTGCTTTCATATATTGGCCTATCTCTCTCACCCTCGCTCCCTCGCTCTCCCGCTCTCTCTTTCACTCTCTCACTCTCTCTCGACGTGTAGCCATAGCTAATGAAGGGGTTCGTGAAAAAGAGCCATGGCCATCGCCTTTGCCTGCTTCTTTTGCTTCTGGCCCTCCATTGGCCCTCCACCTCCCAAATCTTGCTCCCCTCCTCCAGATCCCTACACACATCTTCGCGCTTTCTTTTCGGGGTCTTTTTGGCGTCTTTTGATTCGATCTTTTTGCGTGTGTTCCACGGCGCCTTCATCCGTACCCTTTGACTCGGCCGCTCGCGTTTTGGATCTCATGCTCCTTGATTTGAGTTCTGACCCTTGAAATTTGGGCTCTTCGTGATGTCTAATTTTCTGTGCTTGCCAGCCAGGCGCGAGTCTTAATTAAAGCCCAACAACGTCGCAGAATTGCGGATTTTGGACCCGAAATTGGCGAGTGGGGGCACTATTTTTGGGATGTCACTAATGAAATGTTTCGGGGGGCGCGTCGGATGAAATGTTGCGAAAAATTTGGAATCAGGTAGTTCTGAAAATTTCTGACTGGGTTAGGTTCGCGAATTTTGATTTTGCGTCATTATTGAAGAGTTCTTCTTTTCAGAGGACACGAGAAAAGAACCATGTTTTGGGGCTGAATTTCTCAACCCAAGTCACAAATTTTCGACAAAAACTTTCGACAGCAAAAATCGCGACGGCCAATATCCCGACAGCCGGGCAGATGGCCAAAACTGGGCAGCCAAAATACCGGCATACAAAATAGCTATTTAAAAGGACAAGAACTCCAGCCATGCATGTGTCGGTATTTTGGCTGTCGGTATTGGAGGTGCCAGGCTTTGGCTACCCGGATTCAGGCTGTCGACATTTTGGCTGTCGGGATGAAGGCTGTCGGGATTTCGGCTGCCGGAATTTTTGGTGTTCGTACTTTGGCTGTTTGGCTTAACGCTTGTCGGTATTTGGTCTGTCAGAATTTTGGCTCTTGGAATTTTGCCTGTCACGCTTTTTGCTGTCGGGATTATCATTCATATTCAAAATTTTTGTGTTTTGAATTTTCTAAAATCATCGTTCTACTTTCTCGAGGCAATTCCCTAATGCCCAACCACATTTCATTTTGATCTCCAAATCGGGGCCAGTAGACAGACGGCATTAGAGATATGCTCCCCGTTCTCGGCTTTGTCGTCCAGGGCAACCGGGCCGGTCATTCCGAAGAAGAACTCCTTCCGCCATACACAATTCTCTGTACCCCGTGCTCCTGTGTTCATTCTGCCCATTCATTACATTAGCCGCCGTGAGATGCGTTACGTCACCTCCGCCAAAATTCCATAAAACTAGATGATAGTGGAAAATTGAGCTTGAAAAGATTTGAGAAGGCCAAGAAAAAAAGGTCCAAACTATTTTTCAGCTTTATCCACTTCTTTTATCACGTTTTTCCGTACTCAACTTATTTTTTTATTTTACCGGAATTTTAACAAGTTTAACTCGAGTTTTAAAACTGTAAAGTTCTTTTGCTAAAATCTTAACCTTTTCGGTGCTGTAGCCGATCATTTCCGCCGTGCCCGAAGCCCCATAATTTGGTTTTTTGTGTCCTCTCAACTACCAGGAAGCGAAGGGTAGGAGAACTATGGTTTCTTCTTTCCGGAAATATACAAAGGCGTACCAGAAAGTGGTAAATGATTTACATTCTTCCCATCGGTTTTCGATTTTCTTATGGAACGTTGAAAGGCCGATAGGAAGGCAAATTTTTGCTCGTTTTCTCACTCGTTCTCTATCTCTCGCTCTCTCTCTCTCTCTCCCTTTGCCACTCTCTCTATTTCTGACTATCGAGAGTATAGATCTAAACTAGGTGATGGAATGGAGGGCTGCTCGGGGGCCGGCCACTCGATGTCCCCATTCGAGCTGTGCGCCCACGACGATATCGCCTCGGCAATTGCTGTTGACCCAGTGCTCGGCTTTCGCACTCATAAGATGAACATTGCGTAAGTTGCTACGCTTCTAAATGCTCCCGTATACTAAGCAAATACCTTAAAATACCGTAAAAAATATCCAAAATTTATTTCAGGTTCGTCCCCCTCTCCGCGCGGGAACAACTCCGCTGCAAGCAGATTATCAAGGAGTTCAGGGACGACGGGAATTTCAGTAAATGCGTTCAGCTTTTGAATGAGGTATGGAGGAAGTTACTACGAAGCTGTACTTTTTATAGATACCTTTCCTACAAAAATATCTACGGCCACAGACTCCACGTCAGGTGGCGAATTTTCGGATACATGTGAGTTTTTATAAAGAGCGAGAGGGAGAGAGAGAGAGAGAGAGAGGGCGAGAGAGTTCATCCTCAATTTTCCAGTTGATACGCTTCCTCCAAATGTACCACATCGACGCCGGGTTCACAATCCAAAAGTGTACTCGTTACGCTGCCGAGGGCCGGTTAGGCGCCATGCTTGTTGCAACCAGAAATTGGTATGTTCTTTCATACTTTTAGGCCCGTAATTAGTCAAATTTTGGCAAAATTTGAGCATGACAGAATTTCTGAGGCAACGAAGCCACTTTCCAGGAATAAGTTGGACCGGATCGAAGCTCTAATGGGGGTAATCGGAGAGATGAACAAGGAGGAGGAGGTGCAACTTTTGAAGAAGGACCTCAACGACTTCTCCGTTATGTACAGTACTAGGTGAGGAGAGAGAGCGCGAAAAGGGAGGGAGAGAGAGAGAGCGAGAGAGAGAGAAGCGAGAAAGCCAACTACCGCTTTTTAGAAGGAGAAGAGCTCAATTGTGGCTAGGCCCCGGCTCCTACATCAACCACGATTGCACCCCGAATTGCAAATTCGTCCCCAGCGGCAGTACCGCCATCATTCAGGTATTTTTCGCTTCAAAACATTACGAAACAAACGTCATTAGGTGTTGCGTACACTGCGGGTCGGAGACGAAATCACCTGCTACTACGGCGACAACTTTTTCGGGGACGGGAATGAGCGGTGTGAATGCAGGACGTGTGAAAAGTGAGTAGAGAGAATGCGCGAGCGCGAGAAAGCTACATTTTCCCATAGACAATGAAGTTTATATTTGTTCAGAGAATCCAGAGGAGCCTTCCGGAAACCTGGAGAAATAGACGAGAATACAAATACCTCACCTACGGCTCCGGGACCAGCGCATCAAAATGGCATCGAAGAAAGGAACGAAGCCACCGTTTCCGAAGTCATTCCAAATGGCCATGAGAAGAAGTACGAGCTGAGAGAAAGAGCAAAGAATTCGAATAGTGACGAGGAAGTTGAAGACGTACAGAAGGTGGTAGATGGTGAGTACCAGTTTTTTTCTTTTCCCGAATTATAAAACTATCAAAAAAACCTCATTTTTAGTCTTCGAAATGGAGACGGACCAGTTGATCGCCCGGTTACGACCCCGAATCCTGGCGACGCCTAAAGTCGAAATACCCCCGCCGCCTGAAATCTTGCTCGATCTGAGCCCGAAGAAGAAGAATGGCAAGCACGGCCCGGAGCTGATTGTCGAGCAGATCAAGGAGCTAGCAAAGCCCTTGATAAGGAAGAAAAACGGCGTGCATAAAGTGAAGCGGAAACGTGAGTTTCTATCAATTTTTCATAGTTTTAAAGTATAATACTAAAGAAAAATGGTTATAATTATTATATTTGAACGTTACTCACCATTTTATTTCACTATTTTTAAAGCCTAAACATTTAGCTACACGTCTAGAAAATCTTTTTTCAGCCCGGCCCCGCATCAACCACACCGGCCCCAACTTTGATCTGTACTTGCCCAGGATGCTGGTAGTCCCAGAACCAAAAGAAGGCCAACGATATTCCAGAAGAATACGAGGCACGATTTCTAAAAAACGCCCTCGTTAAACTTATATAAAAGTATCCTAAGACATTACGTACGATTTCTAGGCGTCGACCCGAACAGCGCCCAACAAAAAGCCCTAAAGTCCAAGGCAGAGCCCGAGCCTGAGCCCGAGCCCGAAGCCTGCCGACAGGTCGAACGGATCCCGTCTATGGATGAGGCGATCATGATGGGACCTGTCGAGCAGGAATACCTGTCGGAAGCCGAGGAGGAGCCGGAGTTCGATCCCGAAATGCCGGTGCTTTGCCCGGAAGTGACGCCACCGCATCGGGGCTTTGATATGTGTAATGGAATTCAGGTATGAGCGCGAAGAAATTACAGAAAGATAATTTAAATTATTAAATATGCAGTTTTAAAACTTTGAAAAGGACAAAATACTGTCTAAAATCGAGAAAAGGTGATGCGCGCCTATAAAAATCGTTTAGAAAACTAAATACTATACGAAAAACTACATACTACAAACAAGACTACAAAATTTACCCCCATTTAGGAAGCCCCCACAACACCAACAATAAATGGCCATCACCCCCCATCCGATTTGGCCTCCTCCAGCTCAGCAGCCCGGTTTTTCGATTAGCCCTTTTTAGCAGCTATATCTATTCTATTCGTGTTATTAACACTTTTCAATGTGTATTTTGCCCAAAAACACTCTTTCCACCCTTTCGCCGTCAGGGGATATACCCGGATCTCCAATCACGCACGACCCTACGTTTTTGCACCGGTTTTTCTTTCAAAAAAATTCTGCAGCTGCACACCCACTTCCCGCGAAACACTTGTATGTTATTGAAATCTCAGCCAATTCTCTCAACTCGTCTGTTTTTTATAGTCAGCCAGTAGTCTTGCCATGTTCTAGTGACCCTATTGACATTACAGGACCTCATTCATTTTTCTATAACTTTTTTAAGCAAAAACAAGGTATGTACGAATTTGGGAGGGATTGTTTTGGTTTTAAATATTTTTAAAAACGCTAGAAAAGCTATTTCTAACTTTCGAGATATCTAAAAACAAAAAGACAAAACACAACTGCTTTTAAAAGTTTAAAAATACGCGAAAACTAATTTCTAACTTTCTAAGCCCTCTAAAATCGAAAAATACAAACCAAAACAACCCCAAACCCTCCATAAGCACTCTTCCACTCTCTACATTTCCATATCCCTTTCAAACGCCCCCACTTTCAACAAAAAATTCTTCCAGCTTTATGAGCGAAACACTTTCATAAAAGACAACGATCTGAGCCCCCAGTTTCTTATTTCTTTTTTTGATGGCCACTGGACCACTGTAATAATCTCCGGCGACATAAATTTATTTGTACGCGCGAGAACACTACAAACGAACCGCAAGAGGCAACAAATGAGCAATCGAAAGTAACAAACGATAACAAGGGGAGTATGGAACACCAAAAATAAGATCTGGTAATGGGCTAACCGTGAAATAGGGCAAAACCTAGGCTTCTTCCGTCGCGGCGGCCACCTTCTTTCTCCGCCGCGTCCGCTTTTTCCGCTCCTCGATCCCAACATCCTTAGCAACTGCCGGAAGTTGTTGGACAGGCGCCTTCTTCTTTTTGCAGCTCAACGAATTGGCGTTCTAGACGGAATTTCATGTATTTTCTCCAAAAATACCTTTTGCTTCGACTTCTTCTTGACAATAGCGGGCTGCACGCCGAATTCTTTTTCTTTTAATTCTCTCAGGCGCCCAATCTCATCCTTGTCAACGGAAGCGGCGTCCTAAAAAAGTCCTTTAATTTTTCGTAGCTTTCCCTACCTTGCTTGCCTCCGAAATTCTGTCCAACAAAATGGCGTTGTACTGGATGTAGAGGTGGGGTACGCCTGGGTAGCTACGTAGTTTGTCGCGCAACTTGTCGTCCTAAATAAAAGTTGACGATTAAAAACTTGAAATTTACCTGCGTGGCAAAGATGTACTTTTTCGGGCGGTCTTTCATTTTCCGGGCCAACTCGGCGAAGCATTCACTCGCCGGTTTGGCTTGGTTGTGAGGGCATTCGGCGAGCTAAACAAAAAAAAACTACATTTTTGCGGACGGTTTACTACCTCAAATTGTCGACAGATTGCTGTTGCTCCATATACCGGGCCGCCGAGGAGCTCTAAAATCATCATTTTTCTAAATCCCGCCAAAAACTAACCTAATTCCCTCAACACACACTTTGTCGTACATATCATCGTCTCCTCGCCCAAGTATTTCGGCATCTGTTCTCGTAAATTGATCTTGTCGCGCAGTGCCGCCATGCAAAATGTCCCATCAATCAGTACCCTACAAAACTTTATAGATAACTTTCTAGCTAGAGTATTACCGAAATGGCGGCGCGATTTTGAAGCTGTACTTGAAAAAGTTGAGGATCTTGGCCGCTCGTTTTACCCGTTTCACCTTCATCTCGACGCCGGAGTTATTTCTTCGCCTTGGCTTGCTAAAGATGGGAGTTTTTCAAGAGAAATAATTTACTTGTTGCTTGAAACACGTGATCAGCTTCTGGAATTCGGCTAGACAGGTGTCCTTCTTGATTCGCTCGGCGTTGGAGGAGACGCAGGTTCCGTAGGCGGTGGCCTAAAACACAAAAGTAACTTTTTTATGAAAAACGTACTTCAGGCGCACAAGCTGCAATGTAAACGGCAAATTGACTAAGCCGCTGCTCACGCGGCATAAATTGCTAAAAATATTTTGAAAATAGCTTCTTCAAAATGAAAATTCATCCCAAAACTCGTATTCGTGCAAAATATCCAGTGCTTCTCAACCATTACTGTTTTCTGTCCTTCATTTTCTCACTTTCTCAATATTTATTAGCACAGAAGATGAGAGAAATCACACAACCCGTACAGCAATAAGGATAACAACATGAGGTGGAAATGCACAGAAAGAAGATCGGCCTTCAATTTTGGCAATACAGGGAAATGGTGGGCATCAGCTTCGGTTTTGTTTTTTAGAATTCCAGCCAGATCGTGGTGTACAAAATATTATAACAAAATGAGAACTTTAAAAGCTAGTAGCAGGTTGGTCGAGGTAGAGCTTCGGGACGATGGCCTCTAGCAAATTCTTCTCCGAGCAGCACCTCAGCTGGGCTTTAGTGTCGAAAAATATCATCAGGTGCTCGTTTCGGGTGGCCGATCCGTGGGCGACGTGGATCGTTTCGTGGAGGAAGATGCGTTTGATGTGATGGCCGGATTGGCTGTTCTAAAAAGAAAGAATTAGTCTAAGTTTTGAGAGCTTACCAATACATAAAAATACTCCGGTCGCTCGATACTGGCGATCACACGCTCCTTATCCTCGGGCGTCGCCGTTTGCAGCATGAAAGCAGTGGTGTCGTCGATGACTTGGGCGTGTAGATAATCCGCGAGGTGGGACACTAAACAAAATAACTTTTTAAAGCTGTTACTTCTTTTCTTACCAAAGACCAAAAATAAAATACTGCTTTTAAAGCAACACGTCTTCTTTATATTCGCCGTTTTAAGCGCCAAAACCCACTCGTAGTGTCGTATCGTGTCTTCAAATATCTTGGCAACAGCATGGGCTTCACGCAACTGCGCTTCGATAAGGAGCCTGCGGGGAGGAGCTCGATCTCGATTTCAGGGTCTTGCTCCGTCACTTCAAGTAGGTCATCCTCAGTCTGGAACCAATATAGAAAAATATTTTTAATGTTTTTTACATTTCTGACGAGCTCGTGCCCGGATTCATCGGGCGTCGGCGGTCCCGTCGAAGATTCGTCGAGCCAAGCTGGTATCCGTGCCTCAGATTCGGACTTGTCAGGGGAAGGTGGAAGTGGCGTGGAGTCCTAAGAAACGTGTAAACCATGTTTTTGGAAAACGAATACCCGATTTCTGATTCCGCTTGTCTCCGGCTTCATCGGCGGGGGTGGCGGGGGCGGGCTTTCGTGAACCGAGGAAACGGTCAAATTGCTGCTGTACGAGGTGTTGGAATCGGTGGTGAAGGTGGAGTTGTCAGAGTAGAGGTCCACTAGAATCAGAAACTAAAATTATACACAAATCTAATAAGTTTTTGCTGTGGTCGTTTTTACAAACTTTTCGCAAATCGGCCAGGCAAGGTCAGTAGAATTTCAAATACAGCTCATTGCTATTCCAAAGCTTTCCAACTTGTAAAAACTCACAATCGATCCCGTTGGGGCCAACATTGTTCGGGATCTCCTCGACTTTCTCTTCTTCGGCGAACTCGACCCACATCTTGTAGTCCTGAAATAAACATGGAATTTTGTAGCCAGCATTGCAAAAGCCAGGTCTTCAAAAATAAAAAAATAACATACATGCTCATCGTACACCTCTTCCACATGGCTTTGCGGTTGCGTCAAGCTGGGCTCTGAAGGGAGTGGAGGAATACGATCTCCTTTATAATCCATACCTTCCGGATTCGCGCCCTCTCCGTGACCATTCTGGGTAGGAGTTCCGTTTTCGCCATGTTCCCCGTTCATCTGGCCGCCGTCGTGTCCGTGGTGGCTCGAGGAGGTTGGGGCTGAAAAATATACATTTATCTTTTCAAAACAAGCACAACCATTCTTTTAAAGAGCATTAAGACAACTTACAGCCATCTCGGTCTCCATTCTCAGCCGGTTCGTGCTTGATCTCGCCCTCCTTCTTGCGCTTCTTGCCACGACCCTCCGGAATATCGCCTAAACCATGTATTCGGTACTCAAATTCGGATTTATGACCCAAAAGACTTGAAATAATCCATTTAACAAACATCCTTACTAATTTCAACGACTTAGTCGACGCAATTTCATAAACACCCACCAACATCATAGCTGCCGGGCACTCGTTGCCTACGGTGAACCGCCTGGGCTTTGACACCGTCAAAAATGCCTTCTCTCAGCGCGTCCATGCTCGAGTGCTGGGTGAAAATCTCGGCCTGCTTGCTCTGCATGTCATCGTAGATTTTGCGATCGGGCCAAATCTGCAAAAAAAAGCTTTCTCATCTACGCTCAGAAAAACCCACCTTCTCAATCAGGCGATCGAAATTCGGATCCGGGCGCAGCGATCGCTTCGAGACGAGCTTTTTCCGGCACGTTGGACACTCTTTGTTGCCCCGTTGTAGCGCTGTGGTGATGCATTCTTGGCAGAATCGATGCAAGCATTCCTGAAGAGTAAAAAAGTTATAAGATTTTCCTTTAAAATAGACCTTTGTCGTCATCGTCTTCGTCAGCAAATCGAGACAAATCGGGCACAGCAGCTCGTTCTGAAGCGTGCGCACCGTCATTTTGATCGGGGCCGACTGGTCGTTGTGGGCTTTGTGTGGCTTGCGTTCCTGAAGTAAGTTTGAGGCCCGAGGCGCTAAAGATAAAAGCAAAAAAAGATACAACTTCACTAACCCGATCGTAATCCGACAGCTCGGTGTCCCTGGGGTCTTGGAAATTCCCAGAGAACGGCAGCCCGTCAAGCGCTGTTGAGCCGTCCATCTAAAAATAACCGTTATTTATAATAAAAAATCAACAGAATTGTAATCAGAATTCCGATGAAAGAGAAATACGAACTAGCAACGGTATTGGTAACAATAAAGACAATATCCCGTCCAGATTTTACTCGAGAGCCGCCAGTTGTGCTACCAAAAAGAAAAAATGGCCAAATTTTTGGTTTTTTATTTAAAGGGCTGCCGCCGGCATATGTCGATCCCCCCATCAACAAATTGGCAAGTAGCCAACAGGGGAGAGAGCGCGCCCAGGGGAGAGGCGCAGAGACATTTTCTTTTCCGCGCGTAACCGATTGACTATGCCGTCGGCATCCCTTTAAAAAAAGATTATTATTTAGCAAAAAGTCAACAATTTCCAACAATGGTACGAAAAACAACTAATGACAGACCATGTACTAATTGCATGAGCGTAGCGCTTTATTTTGCGGAACATCGTTAGTTTTGCTAATAAAAATTCTTGAAAATTTATGGTTTTTGGTGTTATCTAAATTCTTTCTGCCCTCCAAGAATACGTTTTTACAAGAAGAAACCTGATAATGCGATTAAAATGGAATTTCCAGCCGCGCGGGCGTGAGTTTTCTTCGTAAACAGCAAGATTCAAAAATTATTGTGTATTTCATATTTTCAAATTCACCGGCTTCTTATTAAAGCTCTATGCCTGTACCTGATGAATATTGAAAAATCAGAAGCCCGTAAAACCTTTAAAATTGAATTTCCAGCCGACCCGGGGCCCTACAAACTTCACGATGGCGAAGCAATCGGGTTTGGCATGGCAAAGGCTATGTTTGGAGGGGACAGCGGTGCGTTATAGCCGACGACGGCGAGGATTAGGCTGTGGAAGAGAGCGAGAGTGGGATCGGGGGTTGGGGGGTGTTATCGGGTAAATAGAAACGAGCCGCCAACCAAGCCGGCGTGTTGAGTCAGGTTCTTGCATTCGAAAATATTTTGCGTTTTTTACGCGGCTTTACCGTGGAAATGTAGCTAGAAATCCTTGTAAAAACAACATTTTAGAATGGCCAGTAAACTTCTTTGGGCGGTGGAAAATGGCGATTTGGATGTGGTACGCGAGAATGTGGTTTGTTAATGTTATATTATAAAAAGGTAACTCATTTAGAACCGTAAGAACGTAGATGATGTAGTGAAGGCCGGGCGAAACTCGATGCACATGGCCTGTGATTATGGGCAACTCGAGGTCGTGAAGTACTTGATCGAAAATGGAGGAAATGTCAATGTGGGTCTAAACTTAGCAAATGGTATTAACTTTCGAAAAATACGTTTTACAGCAGGTTACGAGAGTTTGAATTACAACGATTATCATGACAATATGGTCAAAATCAAAGAATTTCAGCTAGCTGACCAGCACGGTATCACCCCGCTCCTCTACGCCATTTGGGAGAACCACATCGAAGTGGCCAAGCTTTTGATGGCAAAGGTAATCGTAGAAAAAGCTAAATATCGAAAAATCTATTAGAAAAAGCACCGAAAATTTTAAGTTTTTTCAAAAGATAAATGAGAAAAGGTAGCCAGCGCACCAGGTTAAAAGCGCTAAGGACTGGAGCGTAGTCGCTACGTAATGCTCCGCTTCACTTTCTGTTGTTCCTATGCCTTTTACATACCTTTAAAAGCCCAAATAACCAAGAAACCAAAACTTCCAGGGCGCCAACCGGAACGTGAAATCCCCGTTGAACGAGCCGTTGCTTGACTGTGCCACCAGCGACGAGATGAAAGATTTGCTCCGGAGTTACATTGCGTGAACTGTTCTGCCTATTTGCGTTTTTTCGGCTTGTACTTACTGGTGTATCTAGCTACGCAATCATAGTGCTCTGCTTCCCTGTGCCGCCTCTTTTTTGCATTTTATATTTTTTTTTGTCGACCAAAATTCGCTTACCAAAAATGGAGCTTTCCCCCAAATTTACTTCACTTGCAATCCATTGAGTGTGATAAGCTTTTTATATAGCTTTTCGCTGTGTTTTATAATAAAGGGTTTCGGCTTTCCAAAATGCGTATTATTATGAAGGCGGAATTTCCAAAATTTGATGTTTTTAGAAATGGATGTCTCGGCCGAACTGCGTGTTTATAACCTTAAAACTGCATTTTAGCTCTTCGAAAGTAGCGTTTCGTACTCTTCTTTTAGAATTCATGACGAATGATCAAATCCTGGATTATTGGCCGGCTTCTGCGCGCTTGACGAAGGCCCTAGGGGAAAATAGAACCGAAAGAATACAATGGACGTTACCCGGGATAAAGTAAGTAAACTTTAAATAAGTTATCAAGCAAAATACACTCTGTATAGCCTCTTAAAGGCTTTCAGAAAATTTAATAAGCTATATATACCTTTTTAGCGTTAAATGTTCTAGGCAAGGCTTCAAAACGGACGAGATTCCGCAAGATGCCGGGGAATCTCTACAGAAAATTAACACCGCACCCACGGAACGAGAGCTGATTGATGGTTTATTGGGATTAATTGTGAGTATATTATGCAATCTATTGAAATTAAAACAAATTGATTTAGAAAAAGTGCTACCTGGAGCTGGCACTTTGGCAAACTTCCGAGATCCTAGCCAAAAATGGGCACGGTTTAGGCACTGTTGGGCAGCCAAAAACCACGAAGGCTTTTGTGTACAAGGTGTCGTGTACATGAAGCTCCGTTTTACACCTATTTGCGTTTAGATCTGGTCCGTGCGGTTTCAACTTCTTTGGGGGTTGAAAAAGTACACCGAATTGGCAGATGAAATGCAACCTTTTGAAGAGTTAGATGCCCCAGATTTGTATTATCAATATTTTGCTGATAATGCGGGAAGAATAGGTCAGTTATTTACGATATTAATAGATAGACTATAGCCAGCTGTATTATAGAAAGGTAGTTTAGGCTCTATGGTACCTTTTGCCTTCCGGTTAATCCACTCCGAGATACTCCGATTTACGCCCTACCCTTGGAATTCGATGCCGCGGATATCGGCGCTGGAGGAGGACGTTGAAAAGGTAAAAAATGCGTTGTTTCATTGATGTCGTTTTTACTTTTTGTATTTCTAGAAAGAATAAATAAGTACGTAGAGATACGCTCAAACGTTACGATTTTAGATCCTGAACGAATATGCACGAACCGAAAATCTTGAAGCCTACAAAATTTGGAAGAAGCGGAAGAACTTAGTGTTGATGGTGAAGTGTAGGACGCTGTACCATTTAGGTGTAAGTATCTTCGTTTTCTTGAATTATTTCTCCACCGATATAATGGATTTCTTCCAGAACGTCGGAATTTAGTCATAAAAGGTAGAATTCAACGTCTCAGTTTTCAAAGATCAACGTTTACGCACCTGCTTCTTCATTTTCGGGTGTTTGGTGTACATATTTCGGGAGCCCAGGGGGCCTTACCACTTGCTGTTTCACGTCTATGGGTATACAAATATTTTAGAGCTATCAAAATGCGATGGGCGCCGCGAGGCAATTGAGTGATGGCGCGGATTCCGATGAGGAAAAAGCGGAAGTCGAGCGAGCGATTGTCAGAATGGCAATAGCGACCGGGGATGAAAAAACGTTGGAATCGGTGCTGGAGAAAGCTGTCGGGTTGTCGCAGAGTGATGTCGTCTTTCATAAGTACGTTTTTTATGCTATTTTTCCCTTACGAACGATATGGTGCGAATTTTTAATCGAAAGCTAAAATAATCTCAACGAAGAATGTCCTCAAGAATTAAGAAAACTTTGAATCAAAGCGGAAATAATTCAGAGCTCTTCGCGCCATTTTTCACGGCAATTTCGCGCACGCCATGGATCACTTGAAGAAGGCTGTAGACGCTGGCGACAATCGTAATAAGGTAAGTAGCGTAACGTACTCTTTCCATATATGTTAGGATAGAAGTTATCCTATAGAAAATATAATTAAGACCATTGATAAATGGGCTTGATAATCAGAAAATAAGCCTTTGAGGTGCTGAACACCCTCGCCCTTTGCCACCTCTACAGCGGCAACCCAAAAGCTGGGATCCAATTTTTGGAAAAAATCACTCACCCTTCAGAAAGTGCCAAAACAAACCTAACGAGTCTCACTGGAGTCTGCAGCTCAACTATTGTAAAATCACTTACTTCACCGCGCCTTTAACTTAATTTACCCCTAAGTAGTTTACCATTCCAGTTTTTCGATTTTAATAGGTTTTACCTACTGCCCCACCCACCAAACTTTGACACCCTCGCTGACCCAGAAACTTTGTGATTGTGCCCAGCATAATATTTATTTTCGACTGTGTTTTTGAGGCTATGATAGGTATAAATTTATTTATTTCCTTCTGGTAAAATATGTGTTTATATGTACAGTATTCGGTCGTCCCTGCACTTGTCCTGGGGCACGCAACGCCACAGCGCGTCGTACATAAAGCCTGAAAATTGGAAATAGATGAGGGAATAGGCATGCTAGCAGCGAGTAGAATTTAGAAAAAAGCGGATTAGCTGTTAAAATTTGGAATTTATTACGAGAAGTTGTTAAAATTTTGAAGGAGTTACTTTTTTACTGTGGGCTTTTGTCCGAGCAAGCTAGCAGAGATCATTTGAGGAGCAAGAACCTGCCCGATCCCTAACTACGCCTTTTTCGGAAAATTCGGGGTTTTCTAGCAACCACAAATCGTAAGCCTAGGAAGGCTGGCAGAGTAAATTTAGGAAGTCGCAAAATTGAAGGTACTGTTAAAAGTGTAGCTAACAGAGATTCTTGGGGAAAATAGGATGAATCCGGGCAGGCTAGCAGGAACCAATTGAGGGAAATTTCAAAACGGAAAGGAAAGGTTGCGATCGTGAAAAAAGCGCATTACAAGTTTCAAACGAAACAGAATTCTCAACCCACCTTCCCGACACGTACACCCGCGATGGCAAGCAGTATTGCACGGTTCGGCGTGGAAATCACAGCGTTTACAGGTTGGCTCGAGGCCACACTCCGTCCACACCTCATTCACGTTTGGGCATCGCTCGTCCCAGGTGGGGGCTAGAACATGGTCTAGAAAAAGGGGATAAATTCTGTAACCTTTTAGCATCCTGTTTATTTGATAAAACGCCCCGATCCCACCGAGGTCTCGACAGCTACAAAGTACACCCAATGACGAGGAATAACCGAGATTTTGAGTGTTCCTAGCACTAGCCGTAGTTTTCGGCACTTAGCGAATAGCAAATGTCGATTCTGGTCTTTTCCATCCTCTTAAATGAAAGCTAAAAACTCCTGATTTTTCAAAATTCTAGCCGAGGAAAAGGAATACTGCATGACAATCTGCAAAATTTTATGTCCACCCCCCCCCTTAAAAGTAACTAGATGTTAATTTTGTATAGATAAACTATCATAAAAGCAAAACAAAGCCAATCACAAGGTCTAAAAATTTCAAAAACTCACCTAAAGCCTGCAACCGGTCGCTCCACTGGATTGCCCGGATGGTGAGCACCAGCTGGAGGATAAAAAACAGGAAGGCAACCCTTTGCATGTAGTTTGCAGCTCCAGGAGATTATCCAATATTTTTTGGGGTTGATGCGCTCGGTTCAGTAAGGATGTCAAGGGTGGGGAAATCGGTGAGAAAACTGAAAATGGAGGGCATGCATTTTTTTGCCGTTGAAGGAGCAAGCAGCAGCACAAAAGGGGGATGCTTGATGAGGCGGGGGAGGGAAGGGAGAGAGAGAGAGAGAGAGAGAGAGAGAGAGGAACAGAGAGAGAAAGAGAGAGAGAGAGAGAGAGAGAGAGAGAGAGAGAGAGAGGGAGAGCGATAGCGAGAGAGACTGTGTCTTCATTGTCCTGGGGGGTTATTTATGCCTTCCTGGGAGGGTTGAAATTGAAATCAGGATGGGAGATGTACAGTTCAGAGGATCCCTGAGAGATTTTTGGATTCCGTGGCGTAAAGAGTATAGCGACGAAGAGCGAGAAATTATAGAGAAAGTAAGTGAGAGATAGAGAGTGAGAGAGTGTGCCAGAGAAAGCCAGCGAGAGCGATGGATAGTGAGAAAAAGTCAGAAAGAGAGCGGAAGTGAGGGTCACGGTAAAAGTGAGCGTGGGACTGATCGGAGGTACGAGCGAGAAATAGAGAAAGAGAGACAGAAAGAGAGCGAGAGCGAGAGAGAGAGAGAGAGAGAGAGAGAGAGAACCTGAGCAAAAGGAAGTAATGGACTAAACCATGCTAAAAATCCCTCAATTTTCGCCATGAAATCTAGCGGACGCCAACCACCCACATGCCAAGACCGCGTCGGTTCCGCCCTTGTAACCAAAAACGTTGAGTGGGGGCGCCCCCTGGTATGGGATTTGCTTTTTTCGGTATAGGCTGGGGGCAGGTGCAATAACTAGCACTTTCAGCATGTGCCCCCCCCCTGCCTCTCGACAATACTTGACAATTCTACGATACTTTAAAAGGACTAGAAAATGTAAAAATCGATGCTTCATCTAAACTAAGATATCGGCGGCTAGGGGATGTGCCAAATAACGAGGCTGAAAACGACTTCAAAGAAGGATCGAAGCCTGCTAGTGCTCGTTTTTTGCAGTGTCGCCTAGCTGAAAAAACCGGTCGGGCGTAAGTTATCGAATATAGGCTTCCTGAGCCATTTAAAGGGAAAGGCACAGGACGCTTGTTCGCCCTGATCACTATGATCCCAATTTATATGCGGTCAATGCCGACGTGGCCAATCTGTTGCCATTACAATTGGCTGGACCGGGTCATAAAAACCTGAAAAGCCGGGGGTGGTGCGGCTCTCGGTGGGAGCCCGCTTATGTGAATTGAGCATTTTGGACAAACGCACAATTATGAATTCGGAAGTTTCGGGAAGCCTCGATTCTGATCAGGCACTGCATCAAGTTTTTTTTTTGGGGGGGGGCAGGGGGTCTGGAACCCTGCTGGGACGGTTGCGTCAATATTTGAGTTGAGAAAAAAGTTTCGGGGTTTTGAGAATTTATGCGCATAGGTAAATAAATAAAATACATGAGAAAGCCAGAAAGAGAGAGAGCGAGAGGGAGCGACAGAGCAAGAGATGGAGCGAGAAATCGAGAGAGCGATAGACATAGAGAGATAGAGATAGAGAGAGAGCGAGAGAGAGGGACAGAGCGAAAAAAAGAGAGAGCGAGAGTGAGCAAGGTGTTGAAGTTACATGCGCAAAGCCAGTTAAACTAAACAAACCATATCAAAGTGCCCGAATTCCGAAACTGTACAATTTCCGGTGCCCCCACATCGTCCAACGCCACGTAATGGTTCTCGCTGACCGTTAATTGGCTCGCTTCGAGCTGGCCAAATGATCCAGTAGACGGACCGCTGAAACGATGTTAATCGGAATATACAAAAAAAACTGAAATTGCCAGAACAATAATAAAATAGAAAAAATTTAATGATGAGTAATTCAACTTTCAGGAAAAACATATTAAGCAAAGTTGCCTTCGAAAGCTCCCTAAAAATTTTCTCTGCCGAACGATACAGTCGATACGTCCTGTCGCTGGGCCTGAAAATTGGAAATCGATGTGCATTTTAAGGCTAGCGCCGCGGTTGGGGTAAGAAAGGCTATATTTTTTGCATATTTCAAAATACGACTCTTTCTTAATTAACTAATTCATTCTTTTCAAATAACCAATTCCGAAACATAAAATTCTTATTGTAGAATAACATATTGATCTTGTTTTTTATGATTTGGGATTGGTTGTTAGGACCGGACAAACCCCTAGTTTCCTTAGCGGATTCAGGGCACGCTAAAGTTGCATACTAAATTTTCCACATCACCTCCCTTATCAGCGCTCCCATTGATTCATCAATACCCATCCGGTCGGGGGACTCAGTCCACTCTGGGAAACTCACACGACTTTATTTCTGTTTTATCGCAAGTAGGCTTGATGCGAATAGCTTGGTTTTGTTTAGCCACCGCATAGCAAGTACAAAATGATCTAAAGCACCTTTTCACGGGTTTTAAGGATATTAATTTTGTTACAAAGATACTTTTTTGGATTTTCCGAGTTTCCGGTAGCACCAGAAGTATTGCAGGAACCATCAAACGACAGAATTAATCGCTTCTATCTCGTTTTCTATCTCGCCCTCGCTCGCTAGCTCTCGCTCTTTCTCCTTTACACTCTCTCTCTCTCTCTGGCTCTGGCTGTCTATCTCTCTCTCGCTCGCTCGCTCTCTCTCTTTTCTCTCTCTCTCTCTCTCTCTCTCTCTCTCTCTCTCTCTCTGTCACTCTCGATCTCGATCTCCAGCTATTTTTTTTTTGCTCTATATCTCCGTCGTTCTCGTTTTCTCTCTCTCTCTTTTTCTCTCTCTCTCTCTCTCTCTCTCTCTCTCTCTCTCTCTCTCGCTAACTCTCTATTTTCAGCTCTCAAAATTCGGCCAAGATTCGGTGACCGCCCCCCACATCGGGAAGCTTACAACTATATTTTTGGCATTGCCCTGCTAATTTTGGCCTATTATAGCTTATCCGATCGTGTTTCAAATCTAATTCCGAAAGCTTCCATTCCTTTAAGATACGGTAGGACACCTTAAAATATGATTAACAATTCGAAAATGATCTAAAATAATCACCCCTATTCAGGGAGTAGCACCACGAAAGCCGACTTGCTTTCAGGGTGCCATTTGGAGATCTACGACCCGTTCTATGGAGACATTAACAGTGCTTATGAATACAAGGACCCGTTGACGGGATGCTACCGGAATTATGTAGTTTTTATAGCTTTGACCTCAAAATTTAGGAAATTTAGATACCCGCTACCACTCTAGACGCCTCGGGGACGCTAAAAGTCACGGAAGGTTGGCTTAAAAATGTGGAAATATGTCGAGCAAGGTTGGCAAACTAGCAGGGGCCTTTAGGGAACTTTGGAAGCAACAACAAATGCCTGATTTTATAAAGTAAATTTCGATACCTTCAGATGTCATCATTGGCCATACGGCCAAAACGTAACTTTTGACATCTGGCGGGACGTCGCTCACGACGAATCAATAAATTTCGATTGCGAATTCGTCTACTCTGAATGTTTCGATTTCGACGGGCAACTGGTTGATCGCTATTTACATGTTCGATTAATTGAGACTGACTACAGGTCTGAAAATAACGATTTTAAATGGATAAAATGGATAAAAATTGATAAAAAAACAACTAGAAAACCTAGAAATTTTTTTCTGGTTTTTAGGTCCCTCGAGCCCGATCCAGAACCTAAAAATGACAATAACAATATGCAACCCGATGTGCATATCATAGTCTTGGATTCGGTGTCGTCGACGCAGGCCAGGAGGTCAACTTTTGCAGTTTTCCGCTTTATACGCTCGGTAGACGCAACGCGGCCACTGCGTGTTGAACGTATAGATGTACGATTCTAGAAAATCAACCAGGAAACAATTTGCAGATCACTTCCCAAGACCCTGAAATTCCTACAACAGAATATGGACGGGGTGCTGATGCATCAGCTGAATCGGGTCGGGTCGAATAGTGTACCGAATGGCTACGCATTTTTGACAGGTATCTGGATGAGAACTAAGCATACGCCAAACCTAAGCCTACGCGTCAGCCAATCCTAAGCCAAGACTAAGCCAAGCCCAAGACAAACCTAAGCCAAGCCTAATCCAAACTTAAGCCACGCCTCGGCTAAGTCAGAGGCAAGCCTAAGCCAAGCCTTATCCAAGCCCGAGCCAAGCCGCAGCCAAGCCTCAGCCGAAGTACCAAATCTATTCTAAAGCAAATCCTCATCTCTAACTCAAAATTTTCAGGAAAACGAGTCGAATCAGTGTCCCGTGGCCTGTTAAGTGGATCTGGCGACCTTCCGGTCGAGTTGGGCTATAATGACTACTGCTACAGTCATATCGACAACATTTCCATTGTTTTTAAAGACTATGAAAAACGCGGTGAATTACTATATTCGATTTTTGCAATATAAACTACAGGCTACAAAACGCTGTACGGGATCGACTGGGGCGATTTGTGGACTTACCCGGATTGTCGGGGGTTCGAGAAGCAGGCTTTCACGCATGATGCCAGGTAGGAAGTCCCTAGGTTTGGTGGTAGTTAGGAAGCAAACAATTTCGGTCACCTCCAGAAACATGAATTTTTATTTTTTCAGACTTTTTTAGAAATTGTAAAATGCGATAAAAAGTTTGCCGCGATTTATCACAAACGCTTTGAATATTTCTAGGCCTATCGTCGGCTCCCTCGAAGCAAATCCTGAATTTGAAAAAGAACTTCTGGGAAAATGTATCGAGGAATGGGCCCTGCTACTCGACTACCATTCCCAATTCATGAGAAGCTATAAAAGTATCAAATTTTGTATATCTAAAGTACCTCTGACGTTTCTTAGAGCACCCGAAATTCGGGTTGACCTGGGTCACCGAGTTGGCACACAACAACGCCAATTGGCTGTGGTATTCGGATCAGATTTTCGAGGTAAATAAGAGGCCCAAATTTATGCATTATTTCTTAGAATCTACAAATGGGCTAAAAGCATTACATCTATTTCAGAAATTCTTCCGTGGCCACGAAAAATCCTTGGAAAATTCCTTTGTATTTTTCATGGGAGATCATGGGCTGAGGTTTGGGCAGGTCGGGCATTTTTTAAGTAAACTGGGAAGTTAAAATCGGCCCCTGTTTGTCGACTGGGTCTAGGCAGCTACGCAGGGCTCCAAATGATGCCTGCAGGGAGAGAGAGAGAGCGCGCGAAAGAGAGAAAGGGAGGGAGAGAGAGCGAGAGCGTGAGATAGAGGAATTTGTCACGTACATTCCTGCCTATTTAAACCTTTTAGTGGCTCGACACCACCCTCGGCAAACGCGAAATCAACAACCCAATGCTGGTGGTTACCGTACCCAAATGGTTACGGGGAACCAAGAATTAATCGCGAACCTGAACCACAATTCCGTGAAATTGTTAACTCACTATGATGTGTACGCTACGTTACAGGATATTTTGAAGGTAAGCCAAGACAATTCCGAAATTGAGAAAATACATGACTTTTAGAAGGCGCAGAGTTTGAATTTTACTGGCTGGAATTTTGAGCAAATCCTCAATCCAAATCCAAATAATGGCACCTCAATATTCCGGCCACTGGGGTTGTTTGAAAATAGGTAGATTACAATTCATTCTTTAATAAACATAGAAAACCGCTTTAAAGTCATTTTTGAAAATTTAGAACTTGCGGCACCATTCCAGTTACGGATGACTATTGCCTGTGTAAATATGAAAAGCTGAAAAAGCACGTTTTTCTGAGTAATTTGAATGAATTTCTTCGGATTTTTGATAATTTTTTTAAGGGCCATAAAAAAAAGTTTTTTAGAAAATCTTCTTATTTTGAGCCGATGGCTCGCTATGTAGTCGCTGAAATCAACAGAAAACTGAAATCCGAGGGAATAGCTGAAGATTGCGAGGAATTGACGCTTAATAAGGTGATTATCGTATCATTTTAAAGGTACTGGGAAGTGGCTGAATCGACGCCTCCTCCAGCTGGGTCCCGGAAAAAACATGACGCTGCAATGCTCATACAAAATATTCAAAATTTTCTCGGAAACCCAGAATATCACGGGTAATCTCAATTAACCAGAGAAATTTCAAATTTCGGTCTAAATTTTTTGTCGCGTTATTTGGTGTAACGCGTAGTCGTCTACACCTAATCGTTATCGGAGGCCAAGTGTTGCGCTTTTTCGTCGCTTTAAAATAACTGGTTAGGAAGCTTTAAAGGGCCTCTGAAGGCAAATCCTTTCAAAATCTTTTTTTCAGGTCGAAGACGTCCAAGCCTACGTCCCGGAAAAGAGCTTCGCATTTACGAGATTGAATTTACGGTTTATCCGAACTCAGCACGATATCGGGCTGTAAGTTCCAGATCTGAAGGACAGCGCTTTACACATTTTTGCAGCTAGACACTTGTCACTTTTGGTTAAAAGGCTCTTCGCGTATCTGAAATTCAGGCCCGGCCGGCGCTGAATTTTATAAAAAAATTATGGATTCCATTTAGTTGGTGCAGGGCGTGCCGGACGGGGGCGATTTTCGGTATTCGGGCCACGCGAATCGACTTGACGCCTACGGGAAGACGGCCGATTGTGTGGCCAAGAAGAAGCCGGCGATGCGACCGTTTTGCTATTGTAGAGATTGAAGCTATCTTTATTTCTATTTATCTATCAACTTAAATTATTTCACTTTTTTTAAATATATCACTACTTTTTAACGCGATTTTTATATCCGAAAAATCACTCTCTGTATGACGGGTGTCGAAATCTATCTAGGCCTCAGCTCCAATCTGATAAATGGGCTTGAAAATTGCTCAAAATGTAATAGATTATTAAATTTTTTGTTTTTTTCTCAGGTTTTATCACTTTCCTCCCTCCCCTTTGCCACAATATTTGATCTTCCGCTTCCAGCCATGTTCTCGTATTTGCCGACTTTTGGCCAATTTTTGCCCAATAAATGCGTATCAACACGGTCTGGAGGATATTGATTCTTGTTGCAGATACGGTTTTTCTAAAGTTTTATACTGAAATTCTATTGCTTAAAAAAATCAACCCGCGTCGAAAAACATCAGGGAAGTCGATAAAGGAAAATAAAAGCCTCTTCATCTGGCGACAGGGGTGATTCACGGCCGAAAGCGCAGCCAAACTCGCCAAAATCGCCGTTTTTCCTGAACAAAGCGTGGTTTTTATAGCCTTTCTATGTTATTATAATTTCAATTTTTCGATGATCGGGAAAAACATCATTTTCACCCCAAATTTCCTGGTTCCCGATGGAAAAGTGTGTTTTTCAATTTTTAGGTAAATGTCTAGAATTTAAGGATAGTATTTTATGCAAATTACCCCTCAAATTCCCAAGCTCCTCGGCTTGGCCAACCAATTCTTGACCTCCGCAATTCCCGGGTTCTTCCGGTTGGCTGGAGCCATATTTGGCCCTCCAGCACCTACCTCTCCAACGCCACCCCTAAAATTGCATTTTCATTTTATTTCCAGGGCGCGCCCGCCAAGATGCCGATGCCAAGGAACGGGTCCCGGCTGATCAAGCAGCTGCTGTTGGTGCTCATCGGCTGCGGCGTCATCTACTACTACACCGCTCCGAGGGGGGACAACGTCTCCGAGCCGGCCCACCACCGCCCGTCGAGTCAACGAAGCCCTAAGGAGGAGCCAAGACTTTCTAAAAGTAATAATTATTTGAAATCGTCATTTGGTAGAAAGAGCCAAAATTTAATTTACAATTTAAAGTAGTAGAAACAACTATTTAAACGTCAATTTAGTGATTTTTAGCGCCCGAAAACCCGCCATCCGGAGCGAAGCCTGATATCAACCGGACACCGGAAACCGCAGCTCCGCCCCGAGTCGAGTTCAAGCTGGACGATATTACAGGTTTGGGCAACGTGGAAATAACCAGTTTTTGCCGATTTTTTTAGATGTCCCGGACCTGAACTTGTTCTTGCCGAAGGAGTTCGCCCATGTTCAAGGGATCCGTGAGTTCCTTTTTACAGCGCTATCGGGAGGCTGGGGGGGGGGATTTTTCTGAATCCTCCAATTCCCTCCCCGATAATGCAAAAGCACCGCTATTACCTCAAAAAAATTCTAGGCAACAAGAACAACCGGGATGCGCTGCTGGCCAAGTGCCATCTGCCGATCTACGACCCGTTTGCCGGGGATATCAACAGCACCTACGAGTACATCGACCCGACCAAGGGATGCGACAAGAACTATGTAATTCAAAGTCTTTTGTACTTTTTAGCCTGTACACACAGGTCCCGGCCACAATCCTTGAGGGCGGCTTCGTGAAGGTGGCGCCAAGCTGGGTGAGCGGCCAGCCGAAATGCGAGGCTAGGTAAGCTGGCATAGGCGCAAACAATAAGCCCAGCCAAAGCCGCATTTTCCTAATTTCCAGATGCGTGACGTGGCCATTTGGTGGCCATCTCTCTTTCGCCAAATTCCAAGCGGTGCCCCCGGACGGGGGCCTGAAAATGGGCTGCGACATTGTGCACACGCTCTGCAAGGACGCACAAGGCAAAAAGATTGATGAATATCTCCATACGCAAATTTACGAAGTCGAAGAAAAAGAAAGGTGAGATTTAAAAGGAAAACCCAGTATGCTTTACCTAAGCCCACGCCTGCCTAAGCCTAAGCCTAAGACTAAGCCTTACACTAAGCTAAGACTAAGCCTAAACCTAAGCCTAGGCCTAAAGCTAAGACTAGCCTAATCCTAAGCCGAACCCTAAGCCTAAGCCTAAGCCCAAGTCAAAGCCTAAACATAAGGTTAAGCCTAGACCTAGAATTTCTCTATACGTTTCAATCTAATGCCGGAAATTCATCGAGCCCTTTCAATTCCAGCAAAACTTCACCAAATGGACCTCAAAACCCACGCCCTGATGTGCATGTGATCGTGCTCGATTCGGTGTCGTCGACGGAGGCGCAGAGGCACGAGCCTTTTGCACCTAAAAACATGCTGAAATAAGCCTGATTTTGTAAAACATAATTTTCTAGAGCCCTACCGCGCACCTTCAAATTCCTGAAAGAGCACATGGGCGCCGTCCAGATGCAACACTTGAATCGTGTCGGCGAGAGCAGCATCATGAACGCCTTCGCCTTCTTGATGGGTATGTCGGTTTTTTTGAACGTCAGGAGTACTGTAACGGAATTTCTTGAGCTTATTTTTGTAGGTAAGCAGATCCAAGACGCGCCCCGATCCCTGGCTGGTGCCGCTGATCTGCCGGCAGAGTTGCAGAAAAAGGACTACTGTCGGAAATACATTGACAACCAGCCGTACATCCAGAAGACGTACGAGGATGCGGGTGCGTCTCTATCTCTCTCTCTCGCTCTCGCTCTCTCTTCTCTCTCTCTCTCTCTCTCTTTCTTTTTCTCTCTCTTTTTTTATTTTAAGCACAGCTTAAAATCTCGTTTCAGGCTACAAAACGAGCTTCGCCATCGATTGGCCCTGCGTGTGGACCTTCCCGGATTGCCGTGGCTTCAAGAAGCAGCCAGTCACGAATGAGGGCAGGTTAGGCTGGAAGCAAATGTCTTATTCTTCACGTTCTTAATCCAATTCTACGAATTTCAGAGCCATCGCCGGATATCTCAGCCACAACCAGCCCTTCAAGAAAGAGCTGCTCGGAAAATGCGTCGAGGATTTTCAACTACTGCTCAACTACCACGCCCAATTCATTCGCAGCTACAAAAGTGAGGTCTTTTGGCGATGTCTCTCTCTCCCTCTCTCTCTCGCTTTCTTTGTCTCTCTCTCCAAGTTTCACCACATTTCTGTCGTTTAGACACTCCAAAATTCGGGATGTCGTGGCTAGCGAACCTGGCGCACGACGAGCCGAACGGTATCTGGCACTCGGACCAGCATTTCTTGGTAATCTTTCACGGTCTTTCGGGTCAATGATCTCTGCTAGCTCACCCTGAATCAAAGTCGGTACTGAACTGTTAGCGCGGGGAGGGGGGAGCCGAGGGAACCCCTTTGATGATTAATACTGTGCCTTATCATATTTTTGGTAGTTTTTAGTTGCTAGAAAGTGACCAAAAATAGTGAAAGTGAATGTTAAAGAAACATTTTTTGAGCTGTTTTGGTAATTTTTCATACATTTTTGACAAAAACTAAAACGTTTGAAAATTTTATAGCTTTTCACCAGCTTTTCCTCTCTAATACTGCAGGAAATAGCGTAATCGAATCAGCTTTGGCAGATCCTGATCCCCAGGGGATCCATGCTAGTTGCCCTAATCAACCAGCTCGTTACAGAAATTCTTCGAGGCAAACGAGAAATCGCTCGAGAACTCGTTCGTCTTCTTCATGGGCGATCACGGGTCGCGGCTTGGAAAGGTGCGCAAAAATCGTTTTTAAAGGGATTGTGACAGTTGGCTTTTGGTGTCACGACCCCTGAACTACGGAAATTCCACCCTCCTTATTCTAGTTCGTCTACACCGACATTGGTATGCGGGAGATGAACAACCCGCTGCTGATGGTGGCCGTGCCAAAGTTTTTGCGGCAAAACGAGGAGGTACTTTCGGTGGCGCATCTAAAGCTCAATTCCCAGTTGATGAACAATTTACGCACCAACTCGCGCAAGTTGTTGACGCAGTACGACGTCTTCGCCACGTTCAATGATATTTTGAAGGTTTTTTTTTGGTATTTCTGGGCCTCCGAAGGATCGATTCAAAAATTTCTGCTGCTTACGACGACGCAACTGAAGCTTTTCAGCAAGCCCACCAGTCGAACTACACCAACTTTGACTATCAAGAGATTTTGAGCCCGAACCCGCACAACGCCACCTCCATTCTCCGGAATATGGGGCCGCACGAGAATCGGTAAATTTTTTGCTGATTTTAGAGCCGAAGAACGTGCTAAACAGAAGGTTAAGAAAAACCGCTTACAGGTACACTAAAATCTCGTTCAAAAATTTTCGCAGGGGTCGGAAATTTGGGTTCTCTGCCGCGGCTCGCCCCAACCCTTCATATTCCCTCTCCCCTCTGCCTCTTCCGTCTGTCCCATGGCCTAGCGGTCCAAAGCGCTTGCCCCAGGTGAGTGTCGCGGTTTCGGTTTTGCTCCGCCACGAGCGCCTACCGTAATCCTGTTTGCTACCGGCCGGTAACCAAACCAACGAGACTTTGGTGTACCTTTAGGAAGCTGTTTCTATGTTTATGCGAAAAACAAGAAAATTTAATTTCTTTGTTTTTTTTCAGATCATGCGCCACGGTCCCCGTCCCCACCTCCTATTGTCTGTGCGAGTTTGAAAAGACCAAGAAGTAGGTGGTCTCTCTCGCTCGCTCTCTCTCCGGCCTCGATTTGAAAACTAAATCGTGCCTTTTCAGGAACCCGGACGACTACCACGCCATGGCCAAATTTGCCGTCGACTCGTTGAATCAGAAGCTGGAAGCTGAAGGGCTGACCGGAAGATGCCATGAGTTGCACCTTGAAAGCGTGAATCTCTCACTATCACTCGCACTCTCACTCACTCTCTCTCTCTCTCTCTCTCTCTCTCTCTCGAAAATATGTTGAATTCCAGGTAATTTCCGTGTCCGCCTGGGTGCCAGAGGACGAATTCGGCCTGTACGAGATTCGCTTCACCACATTACCGAACAAGGCTCGCTACAAATCGGTGGGAGCCTTTCTGGCTTCACTTAGCCTTAGGATTAGGCTTGGGCTTAGGCTTAGGCTTTGGCTTACGTCTGGGCTAAGGCTTTGGCTTGACTTAAGCTTAGTTAGGTCAAGACTTAGGCCTAAGCTTACTCAGTTAACTTGGTTTGGGCTTAGGCTCAGGTTAGGCTTTGGTTAGGCTTAGGTTTGGGCTTAGGCTTAGGCTTAGGCGGGGGCTTAGACTTAACTTATCTTCGGCTTAGGCTTAGGCTTAGGCCTAGCTTGGCTTCTGCTTACTTTGAAGAAAAGCCACAATTTGGATCTAAAATAAATTTTCGCTGTTTTCTCAGTTAATCCAAATGGCCACCGACGGGTCGTTCATCTACTCTGGCGTCACCGACCGGGCCGACTCGTACGGAAAATCGGCCGCCTGCGTCGCCAACGACAATGCCCCACTACGGCCGCTCTGCTACTGCCGTGACTACAAGCCGAGCTCTCGCCTTCCTCCCAAATGATCCCTGCCAGCAACCCCAATCTTCGCCATTTTTTTGTGTATTTTATTTTCCCTTTTCGTGCTGTTGCTAGACTTGGTGCTACGATTTCCGCTTTACGGGTCGCCCTTTTTGTCGTTGTCGATGGAAAATCTTATACTGGTGATGAAGCTTACTCTCGATATTCCCGATATATGAGACGTCAAACTGCATAAAAATCGCAAACTACATGGATGGCAGCCTCAGAACGTTACATCTCGGTTTCCCTGGAGATGAATAACTGTAAAGTACATCGAAATATTCGCGAAGCTATTTTTGGCAAAATTCAGTGGCCTTCGGCTTGATGAATATGAAATATATGAAAAGTGGCGTAATGTATAGAGTACAGAGTACCGGGTGTCCCAAAAAAAGCATCCCCTTATAGCGGCGCGGCGGAAGCTCGGATCGGGCTGATTTTTACACCACTGCCCTCTCTCTCTCTCTCTCTCTCTCTCTCTCTCTCCTTATCGATCTACCGCTTGAGCAATCGCCCCAAAATTAACATAATTAAGGATATTTGGATTCGAAAACTGTAGTGTTCAATGCGCATCGCAGGTGGCCACCGCGGCCTGCCGGTTTTATTCATTCCCACTCTTCGCTGACGGCTCTGCGATGTTGCCGGGCGACCCCGACGACGCCAACAAGTCGACAGATGCGGAAGAGAGCAAGAATGGTGTAGCCGCACAGGTCGGTCTTTGCAAGCAATTCTCCTGAGCTTACGAACTTCCAGGTTGTGGTCCCCATCGCCACCTCGCCGGTGGCTTCCACTTCCCGCTCGCAACCCCCGAAGAGACCGGTACCGTCCTCATTAGTGTGTGGTTAACCCTCACGAAATTCAGGCCGCCACTTCCCCAAACCAGGACAAAAGTCCCGAAAAACCCGTCGTCAAGAGGTCGAAGAACATGGTAGTTTTCTCGCTTAGCTGAAATACACACTAATGTCTATTTTCTTCCAGATGGCCACGTCTTCGATGCCCCCCTCGAAGTACTACCTGCGCGTTCGGCCTCGCAATGGGGGACCAAGGGCGATGGTAGGGCTGTGGTTTAGACCCCGCCCCCCAGCCAGCCCCGACCGACTGCATCGGGACACCCCGTTGTCGTATGCAGCCTGTAAAGTATACCAAAATACTCGCAAGAGCAAGACGGATATTTTGGTGTACTTTAGACACCTGTAGGTCAACAGGTGGCCGAGATACAAAAGTTGAGGATTGGCTGGGGGGGCTAGGTACGGGTACTGAACTCATAGCGGGGAGGGGGACGTCACTTTTTGTTTTTCCACCTATACCTGTTCCACCTATACCTACTTGTTGATGATATATAATGTCCTTTTATAGTGTTTTTAGTAGTTTTTGATTGCCAAAATTTATAAAAAATATTTTTCTAGTTTTGAAATTTCGAAGATTTTTTGACCATTTGGTCATTTTCATCCATTTTTGAACAGTTTTATTATTTTTTTATTATATATTGTTTTTGGGATCTAAAAACTATCTAAAAATGCTATAAAAAGGCTTACATTTTGTCATAGGTCCGTAGAGAACCTCTGGGAAAAATTTCCACCCCTCGCTAAGCCCCCCGCTAACAGTCGAGAACCTAGGTATCTGTGTCTTCCTAGACTATCCCATCCAATCCATTGCAGAAACGCCTGAACACGCTGCTGTCGTTCGACGAGTTCAGCCAACTGCCGTTTGATGTCTGGCTGATGGTGATGCGCCTGTTCACCCCAATCGAACTGCTGGAACTTGCCCATGCACATACATTCTTCAAGGTGCTGCGCCTAGGCGGTACAAGCAACGCAGTCGATTTACAGGATCTGATCACGAGGTCCCCGAAGAAATGGGGATACGTGGTGAACCCTTGGGCGCGTCACGGCGCCATGACGTAGCATCGCAACTTTAGCCCTTCATTTTCACTTCAGGGATTACATCATAGTGCCCAGCTACCGCGCTCGCCGGCCGCAGCTCGTGTACCAGATCTCCTTCGCTCCCGTATTACGGTGGGTTCTTCAGCTCATCATCTTCTGCTCATCATCTTCTTCTCTCTTGTGTTCATTTTCTTTGCTTAGGTTCCGTTCGTCGTTCGTTTCCGCATTGAAGATCTTGCTGAACAACGCATACTTCGATCAGGTGCGTGTGGACCGGACCTCACCGGAACCGAGAAATTTAGTTCTTCCCGGTCCTGGACTGTTATCGGGGGGGGGCGGCAAAGAAGAAACCAAATTTTTTTACCAAACCAACCAAAGCAACGGTTTTAGCAAAGTTAGCAGAGTTTTCGAAATTTTGTTGTTCTTCAAAATATGAAATTTTGCCAAAAAAATTAAGAGAGAGAGAGAGAGAGAGAGAGAGAGAGAGAGAGAGAGAGCTGAGAAATCATTTTTATAGTTTGGCTTCGGTGCCGGCTGGGGACTGCCCACCCCCGAGCAGTACAAGGTCGCCCCCCACGTGCGCGCCCATACTGCCATGCTGCCGATCAAAGGGCCGAAAGATGAACTGTGCCGCCAGATTGGTTCGTGAACCGGAATTACAAATTTTGACGCGTTTTTCCAGCCCTCCTCGAGCCCTATCGTGTCGCGGTGTACGCCGATCCAAATGGCCAGCCGGGCGAGTTCCGCACAGTGCTACGGGATGTGATTGGAATGGTGGGTGCTTCCTATTCCTTCCTTCCTTATTTTTGCCACTTTCAATAAAAATTTGAAAATTTTATACGTTTGGAAATAGTAAAAACAGTGTCGAGTAGTGTTCTACTTCGAGCGGGGGTTGTAGTAGGCGGGAAAATTTCACTTTACGGTATGGTCCCAAAATGTAAATTTTTCAACTGGAATCGGTGCAGCTCGATGAGTTTGTGCGTTTCCAGTTGAAAAAACGATTGGGAAACATTTCTGGACAAAGTTATAGGCTTTTGAAAATCGCTAGTTCACTTTACGGTATGTGAACGAAACCTCAATTTTTGAACAGGAAACGATAAAGCTCGCTGAGATAAAGCGTTTTCAGTTGAAAAAACCATTGGGAAATTTCAAATAAGAAAGTTATGACGTTTCAAAGATATTTTTGCTAAGGACTGTAGGCTACGCAACACTCCTATCCCCGCATTCTAACGCGTGCGCTCTCTGCCAGCGCTTACGTACTTATCTAAAAGCATTTATAATTTTTAAAACTAGTGTTGTAAGCATATAATAGATAAATAACAGTTTGTGGCCTCCAATGTTGTCAGGTAAGGTGGGCCGTCGCTTCGGATGGGCTGCCGCTCCACTCTTCCGAAATCGGGGCGCCTGGGCGCTGCGCGCTCCTCGGGCGCCCCGATTTCGAAACCCTGTACGAGCTCGCACCCATCCGAAGCGACTAGGCCCCCGGTGGCACGAAGCCTTATTTTTAGGCTTAAATTGGGTATTCAGCTAGCAAGCCCCTTCAAAAAGGCCGATATTTTGGTCAATTTTCATAGTAATTTTCAAAAGCTAAGAACTTTGTCCAGAAGCGTTTCCCAATCGTTTTTTTAACTGAAAACGCATGAACTCGTCGGGATACATCGATTCCAGACGAAAAAATGACATTTTGAGAACATACCGTAAAGTGAAATTTAGCCGTAGTAGGCTACTTCTTTTTGCTATAGCAATTTTATAATACGCTATTATGAGACGTAGTGATGGGGTTATTCAAATCAAATCTTGACTCAAATCTGAGAGCTCAAATCTGAATATTTGAAGGCAAAAATTTCAATTTCAAATCGGCGGATTTGATTTGAAACCCAGTGGACTGGTTCAAATCAAATCCGGAGGATTTGATTAAGCTTCCGGTCCTTAATCAAATCTTATGGAGATGCCGGCATGCAAATCAGAAAAAAATCGCTATGGCCGAGCTGGCGCGAACCGGAAATGACCTTGATTATGCATACCATCATACAATTAGCATCCGCGTAATGAGCTATTGATTTTTTCGACTCCTTTCAAATCCTCGTTCAAATCTTCAGATTTGAACTCAAACCTCGAAAGTCCAAATCAAATCGATTTGATTTGAAGTGCTGAAACCTTATTCAAATCAAACCGTCAGATTTGAGTAGGCGGATGCAAATTGGATTTGAGATTTGAATAATACCATCACTAATGAGACGTAACTAAAACACTTAGTATATTTTTGGCGCCCTTTCGAACGACGTATAGGAAATTCTGTAAAAATATCGAAAATGCCCAAAACTAGCTTTCGACACTACACTCCCATTTGTAAAACTCGTTTATTTTTTTTTTCCTCCAACTTATTTATAGTACGGTATTCTGGGATGTAATTTAAACTCATAATATATTTTTGATGCTCTATCAAATAACATTGCAAAAATCCCGAAACCTATTAAATTCGCCGAAGAAAATCTCCCCTGCTCGAAATAGAGCAGAACCCAGCCTCGAAACACTTCCGCGCTATTTACATTAGAAAAATAAGAACTTCAGGAAAGAAACCAGGTCCCCCCGATATTGCGAAAGAACCCTCATTAGAATCGACCATCGCTGTGGGTGCACTTCGGGCACCAGATCGACGAGATGGCCATCCTGCTTGAGGCCAAGTCACCCTCCATCCGCGCCTATATGGCCACCTCGATGTCGACGAAGGGCCGTAACGAATGGGATCCCAGGCGCTTGAGGGACCCGGGGCTTATCGTGCAATTCCGTCGTACGCTCATCCCCGCCATCCACACCATCATAGAGGTCAATTTCGGGGTTTTGACTGTCTCGGACTCATCGCGCTTGTCCAGGCACGACTACAGGGTGTCCCAATAAAAAACGGCCTCTCAGTATTGCAGCAATGGGAACGGCGTGAACGCGAGATTGACGCCATCGTGCTTAAGGACCTTGACGATCCTTACTACACAATTGACAATGCTTTGTCGAGGGAATTTAACGCTGGTTTGTGCTAGATTTCTTCACTACAGGATGCCCCAAAAATACCCCCCCCTACTAGCGGCCCTAGAAGATTTGCAGTTTGGTTTCTTTCGCATCATCGGGAGGGGGGGGGAGCATTTTTTTACTTAAAAACTAATTTTTCAACTGTAAATAGTGGGAGCGTTTCTAAGTGCAGGGGGGGATTCTACGCGGCGGGGGGACGGAACATGCACGCCTTTTCAATCTTTTCTTTTTATCGCGGGAATTTTGCAAGGCTTTCGATGGAGCGTCCAAAAAATTATGCTAATTTTTGTTTGGCTCGAAGTATCCTATATCCTACCTTATATAATTTTGGCGTGTATCTTTGTGTGTGTGCGAAGTCAGTTTCGAGGCCAGATTTGAGGGCCTTCCCGTGTCCAAAATGCCTCAATTCCGCGTCACTTGGGGGAATCGACCTTTCTGTTTCCGATGGCGTTCTCAGAATTTTGATAAAATACAAGTTTACAAAGTTAAACCCGGTTTTATTCATTTTTGGGGTCCCTGAGAGCTAATTTGCATAATATGAAAAAAATACAAATTTCCTCATTCTTGCAAGTTGCACGCGCGGGTGTGGTCGGATGAAGGGAGGGGTCTGAAGGACCCAAGCTATCGGAAAGTCAAATTTCTCATGCAAAGGCCGCATTCCAGCGCCCAAGGCCCGCGAAGCGGGTTTTGGGCGCTGGTTGTAATATAAAAAAGTTATAGTAATGAAAACAAAAATGAACTTTCAAAATCGGGTTGAGCGGCGATTTTTCGTCCTTTTAAAAACGCCATTCGATAGAGCATTCAAAAATATACTAAGAGTTTTGTTGGTAGCAAAAGAAACGCAATTTTTTCGAAAAGCCCCTGACGTAGCCAAGGGCATTGTTCCAATTACCGAAAGCCATCGCCTATTTACAGAATTCGCTGCCCTGCCCGAAAGAATTTGCCAAGGCCGAACCGACCCCCATCAAATTGCTGCCGATCAGCGTGATCAGTGTTTCGTGATTCGTCGCGGACCCGGGGTAGGCCAGCTTGCTCGCATTGGACCTTGAACGGTTGCAGAGCCACGAGGGACTCGTCGTCATGTCTAGCTATGGCTACATGGCTTTCGTGCTGGCCACATGCAACTACGCGTTTCGCAAGTAAGATCCCTAGGCCGACCGTGACCTAATCATCTTTTAGGAACCGAACGCGCGACCACGCTGACGACTACCTGGACGGCATGTATCGCGTTGAATCGAAGTTATTCAAGCTGCCGAAGGCATTGGATGTACGCTCTTTGCCATGCAGGCTCTTGTTTTCCAACTTTTTCATGGCGGTGCAGGTTGACCTAGCAATCAAATATAAACTGTATTTACGTTGTCTTTTTTTGGTAAGTTGCAACTACATTTAAGGTAGAAATAGTTGCGAAAATAGTCAGAAAACAGTTTAAAAAAAGTCGAAAATTTGGTCATGTTGGGTCGAAAAACAAATTTTCGACATAAAATTACGTTTTTAATTAAAAGTTTTGTCCCCCAAAAACATGGTTTTCTTCACGCATGTTGCGTTTTTTTGCAACGGTATTGAATAAGGGCTAAACAAGGGTCAACGTTGGAACTTTAGGGGCCTTTTATGCCTCTCGACCGCAAGCGTGAATACGAGACGGCCAGGCGGGAATGGGCCAACACCGAGCCCCACCATTCGATTCCCACCCGAGAATTGGCCATCGATCGTCTGGTAGTATTTGGCCCGATATATTTTGTTGATCCTTATTGCTTTAGCTCTGGACCGAGCGCCTCTTCGGCCGCGGCAACTTGGTGGGCCGAACGGAATCGTGCCTTCTATCACTCTCTTTTCAGCCGGAGGAGTTTGAGGAGAAGCGCGACCCGATCCTGACGGCCTACGACCATGCGCCGAAATAAACTGCCGATTTTCATTAAATTACATCGTATTTTACTCGTGCCCATTAATTACTCGCTGTCGATTGTTCGTCTTCCCGGAATAAACGTTTAAAAGGTCGATTTTGTTTTTCGCAAAAATTTTTACTTGGTTTACTAAACGTATGACATGGCGTCAAGTGCGACTTGTCCCACATTTGAAAAATGCTCTGGACCTGCGCAAAAATTTCTTAAAGGGGCTCGGAAGTCAAAATTTGTAGGCGCGGATTGAAGCTACTGATCGAAAAACGAAAGGGTCACTGCCGAGAAGTGCCAGAAAAGAGATTTCGTTGCGAAAAACGTCAAATCTTTGAGAAAAACAGAAAGGTTTTCGGGGCGAAAACCACTTTTGAGTGCACGGCAATTTCAAGTCGTAATGCCTCGTAACGCGCTCAATCCTTGATCTGGGTGATTCTCGGGCCAATCCTACTATATCCTACTATATATAAAAAAATAGTGTTTGTGTGTGTGTGTGTGTGTGCCACTTTGAATCCACTTCCGGATGTCTGTCCGGAGGATATCTCAAGAAGGGACGGGGATGCGGCTACGTATGATACGTCATTAGGTGCGTAATGGTATAGGGATCACTGCACACATATCAGATTTTTAAAAATTAGCCATTTTCGCAATTAAATTTAGGTTTTTGTAAATACCTCTTTGTTAGTAATAATTAGCATATACCGGAAGTGAGCTGTCCCCTATATAAAGAGGCCGAAGAGGTTGTTTATCATTTTTTTTGTGTCTTCTGAATAGAGGACAATTATGCAAATGGCAAAACAGCATGTGGTCCGAGACGGGGCCAGGGTTGAAAAGTCGCGAAGCGACTTTACGACCCTGGTTTGTCTCTAGAATGATCAAAATTTTATGAGAACTACGAAAATCGCGTTAGAATTTTTAAAGGCGAGGGTTTTCACGTCATAAAGAGCAAAATACCGTGCGGCGCGCGTAGCGTTGCGTTCGCATTTCCAGGAATCAACGCAAAGCGCCGTGTGCCAGATTTGGAGCCCCTTTAGAGCCCCAGTGACGTAACTATCTGCTCTCACTTTTCAGTTTTGCATGGACCGATTTTGCTTGCAAACCGCTAAAAAACCAGGAGCCCGGTCAGAATTCTTTGGATTAGAATTCCCGACGGCGGCAATGTCGACGGCTTCCGCGTCGTTTGACGATATTCCGACGGCCTTGGACTTCTCGGCGTCGGCCTCCATCTCTACGGCCACCACCGCCTCGCCTCCCACATCACCTGCGACGGCTCTATCGCCTCGGGCGGCCCATCAGTGCGTGTGGTATCAGCTCGCGTTCTTTCGCATTACCGGGGGGGGGAATCAAATTTTTTCCTAGGACGGAAGTTTCGAATATAGACAGTGGAAGTGTTTCTAAATGGTTTTTTACTATTTAAACGTGCACCTTACAAATTTTTCTTAAAAAATATCAAAAACATCGATTTTTCGACCAAAAATGGCCTATTCTGAACAAAATTACGACTTTTTGAAAGTTTTTAGATAATTTTTCTAGATCAAATGTAGTTATATACTACGAAAAACACCATTAAAACAGTTACTATTAAGTTACTAGACATTTCAAGACGTATACAAAAAGGATCCGATTCCCCCCCCCCCCCCGATAATGCGAAAGAACTTCATAATATTTTTGTTTTTTTTTGTTTTCCTGCCTTTCCATGACGTCTGAAATCACAGCGATCATTTCCGCTGCAGACCAAATTAATAGGTTCATTGTGAAACGACTCGCTTTTTTCAGGCTCGGCTTGGCTGAGATTCTTGGCCACGTTGAGGCCAATCGAATTGAGCGAACCGTCGACCAGAGCTACGACGGTGACGCGTACATCTATGTCAGCGACGTCAGCTTCGCCTCGGCCACCTGTCAGGATTCGTCGATACGGGGGTGTCCCAAAAAAATCGACCCCTTTAGAGTTCTGGAGAAAGCCCGGATCGGGATGATTTTTACACCATTCAAAAGCCCCTGAAACGGCGAGTTTGCCACAAGCTTGAAAACCATGTTTTTATTTAAATGCGCTATTTAACAAACCATTTCGCAAAACCTTGCTATTTTTGGGGATGCATACGAGCTAATGTTATCTCAATTTCTCCAAACAAAATCAACAGAAGAAGCCCTTAATTAGATGCAGAAATCGTTCCTTAATGTTTTTAAATGCGTTGTAAAATAGTGGAGTTAAATAAAAACATGATTTTGAAAACTGTCCCAAACTCGTCGTTTCAAGGGCTTTCAGAAACTAACGTCCCCCCCATCGGCGTCAAGCCCCCTTTCTCTGCGTATTTGACTCGACGATTTTCAGGGTCTTCCCATTACCAGCGCCGGCCTCGCTCTGCCCCCGTATAAATCCTGCCGCGAAAATCCGAGTGGGATTTCCAAGTCTTGAATCAATAGACCAACTTTTGCCTCTGTGCCCCTTTTTGTTTCTTGACTGTTAGCGGGCGGGGGTAGCTTTTTGTTTTTCCATCAATATCAAGCTGTTAATAATATATATACTGCGTTTTTAAACTGAATTTAATAGGTTTTATTGCTGGACAATTCTAAATGAATACTTTAACGAATTTTCAAAAATCGAAATTTTTGCCCTCTTTTGATTTCCTTCCCTCTATTTTTAACCCAATAAAATTTATAATCATGTTTTGAACAAAAAGCCATCTTTTCGAGAATTTATACAATTTATCTGAACTTTTCATATCTAAAAACTATGTGACGTTCTATAAAAATGGTTTAGATTTTGTTATAGGGCTGTAAAGATTTACAGGGAAAATTTCAACCCCCCCTCCCCGCT